AAACAAGGATTGAAATTTCAGAGTGTATCATTATGCTTACATATTAAGAGTAGGCTATTTTTCAATAAACTACTTTACATTATAGTATATCTTGTAAAAAAAAAACCACTCAAAGTTTTGTTTGACTTAAAGGGCAAAGAAAAATCATACAGAGAAAATGTGCAATTTTATTTTATAAATATTTCCAAGCTCTTGAGAAATAAACTTGCCTATCAAAAGGTAATTCCTGGGCAATTAGGTGCAACTTCTGAATGATGTCTGCTGCCTCCTTTATCTATTAAAGAATAGATAAAAGCAATAATTAAAAAACTCTTATACATATCAAAAATTGCATATTTGAAAATAGTGATATCTTCCTATACATACAGGCTGTCCCTCAAACAATTTCCTTTAAAAGCCCATAATAAAATGTTGTGAGCAAGAAAAATACACCTGGGTATTATTACAATGAGTCAAAAGCCAGCATTTGTCTTTCTGGTACTAAGGGTTGTTTTTGGCTTTCAGTTCTTTTGTGCCCCTGGTACTGAACTTTTCATGATTGTTTTGATGCTACAATTCCTGCCCAAAGCAATCTGTAGTATAAGTTTGCTCTGAAGAAATTAAAATCATTATTTGCAGAGAGCAATGTGTAAATTCCTTCTAAGTTCATGAACTCCAAGAGAGTAAATAAGATTTATGAAGATGACTTTGAACATACCATGGCATATACTTACGTTAAGCTCATATGTAAAATAACAACAAAATGCCCATCATTTAATAACATATAAAGTTATAATACTTGTTCTAAAAGCAAAGCTAACATTTAACATTAAATCTAAGTGAAATATAGAAATACACTTTTTCAAGTTATAGGGAAAAAAACCTTAGGCAATGTGTCTAAAATTCTTTAAAAGAAGATATTCATGTCTGTCATATTTTCTTTAAATTTTAACTGAGTTCTAACTTTTAAATTTGACCCAACTTTAATAACTGCTTTTATAATTGACTTGTTTTTCTCTTATATCAAAAAATAAAATAAAATCTTACAAACACAATGAGCTTAGAACACTAGTCTAAATTATTCTAATCATTCATATAAATTCTAGCAAGCACTTGTGGGTTTCAGCAGGACCTATTACTACTTCTGACTCCAAACAATAGCAAGCAGCATTTTTGCTTCCATTATCTCTCCTCTTATTTGGCAGGCCACTATCATTCTTAATTGCCAAACAGCTCCGTATCAGCTGCATATGAGCGCACAGGTTCCTTGCAGTAAGATGCACCACACCATTTAGTTTTACGGGCAAAGTCCCTCATTCTTTCTGTATCAGTACAGCCTCCCCAAAGAACCTATCTGGCATACAGCTCTACATTTTTATCAGTTTGCTCTTTTAAGAAATAGAAATTTGCTATTTTCAAACTTTGATTAATATAGTAAGTAGTATAGCAAGACAGGTCTTTTATTGAATTCCCAAAGCTATTTGTTTTGTAAAATAATTTTAAAGTGCAAGGTTACATTATATTATAGTTAAAGCATATTGTAACAGAGCGTGGATGTAGCTCAAAGGCATAGCTCCTGCCTAGCAAGCAAGAGACCGAGTTCCATTCCCCATACAAAAAATAAAGTGTCAAAACCACAATCTAAGGACGTTTATATCTGTTCTTAGGGTGAGCTGTGAAACTACCCAAATAGTTTCAAGGTAACCACAGTCATCAAGCATTACCTGTATGAAGAACAAGCTACCATTCTAAACAGGAAAAACAGGCAACACAAAGGCAAAGACAGGAAAATGTAAAATAGGTTTTCTCAAGAGAAATTGTAAGATTCCAAGAATTAAACATTAACAAAACAAAAATAATTAGGGGCCAGGAGTTAGAAGGAATGTAATGTGTGTGTTTGTATCTTGTCTCATGCAAACTCATCCCACAGTCATACATCTAATGATTCTTCGTTTCTTTCTACTGGGAAGGTGGCTAGCCCAGAAGCCAGAAAATGAGACAGCCAGAAGTTTATCTGGTAATTAGCAACTTAATATCATACTGTGAGCTCTTAATTGCAGTTAACTGATAGTACCTGGACAAAAAGGATGATTCTTACTTAGCAAACCCTAACACAAAATTTGTGTGGAGAAAAGAGAAAAATACAATTGAGAAAGGAGGAATAAAGTATAAGAAAAAAGGAACAAAGAAGATAAAAGATAAAGGGATTTAAAAAAATAGCATAATACAAAGAAAAAAAAAATTAACGTAAATACATGGGTCTGCATTTGCCCCTCCAAAAATTACAGATGGCTGAGTACCCAAGTGAATAAAACTGAAAAAACATAGATTGTTTCCTTTTAATTAAAACCTCAAACATTGAGACATTAATAAAAAAGAAAACATTAATAGCAAGAACTACATAATTACTTGACAATTAAAAAATGTAGTGTGAACATATGAATCAGATTAGAAATAAGTATTTTAGCCAGTCTAAAAAATCTTTTTCCTTAAAATCTGAATCATTATTCTAAATTGCAATCAAATAAACAGGTAACTCACATTGTAAGATACCAGTATTTACTTTGTTAACAGCATAAATACACTACACAATCCACTAAGTATAATCTGAAACACAAGGTATCAGATTTGAATTACATCCAAACTTTTATAAGACAAACCTTTGTAATATGTTAAAATACTGTACTTCATACTATATGATAAATGTATGTTTATATTTAGGAAATCTTTTTAAAATTCCATAAATTATGCTTTAGTGTAGTTCAGCATTAAGCCTCTACATTTCTTACATATAAAAGCCATAAAATGTGCAAGATGTAAGGTCAAGTACTTTATAAATCCTTCAGTATCATATTTTTCTCAATGTTAAACTTTATCTGTGTTACTTTACATTATAAATATGAATGTCAACTCAATTCTTCAAAACACTTTCTCTCTAAAGGAATTATCTACACATATACCATCATTTTTCAAAGCTCATTAGAAGTTATAAATTCAGTAACCCTATAGAGTAGCATTCACACAAATGAGTTGCTTAATTCAAAGCGAACTTTTAATAATACTTAGCTTTTACCATTCTGATGTTCTATGGAGCAAATCTGGAATAATTTATCAGTGAATAAGCGGGCAATGTTATGTGAATATCAATTTTTCCCACATATTTTAATATGTTTTCTCTTAAGAGAAGAAAAATATCTAAATTATCTTTAAGACTGCAGAATAGTCACTACCACACACCCTTAAATCAGAATTAAGTGAACAGTGTTATGAGATTAACGTAAACAATACCTTGGTCCAGACTGCTTAATTCTGTGTAACAGATCTTTATTTAAGTGATAAAAATCTAGAATCATTGAATTCCTTTACAGAAAGGCATTTCAGCTTGTAAGTCAAATCACCCTACCCACTACTAATGCTGGATAAAGATTAGAAATGGCATTAATGGCAAAAGAAATATTTATGAACATAGTTATCTAAAACACATGTAACTTGATAAACAAAAATGCTAGCCCAACAAATTAATAATCTGATCATCAAAATATCATCAGTAATCTATATTTAATACAGTAGCTGTATTAAATTATATTTTAGAACAGTAACATTTTATAAATCAGCTACTCAGTTAAAAGTCTACCTAGAAAGTAATAAATGCAGCTCGTGATTGGCATTGTTATTAATGTGACTTGCTTTTAGCCTCTGACATTGCTTACCTTTTCAGAATTTGTAAAAACATCAGATTTCAATTCTCCATCTAGAAATTCATTGAAGTATTTCATCAATTTCTGAGCTTCCACTGCCCGTTGTCTTGGTGTGTTTACTCCTTCCAACTGGTCTCCAAGGTGACAGACTTTGGTTGCTACATAGCTAATATGCTCATCTAGTTCTTGGAAATGTTGGAAGGCAACCTAGGCAAAAATGTACAATAGCATAAAATATAATTAAAGAGGAAAGTTAATACATATTAAAAATATATTACCAATCGAAGGCATAAATCTACAGTGTTTGACACATCTGAGAGGCCCCATTTTCAATCTCCAGCACCCCAAAAATCAAGCCAACTAAACCAAAGTACTAATCTCATCAGTACTCTATTTCTGGTAATTAAAAAGAGTTTAGAAATATAAATGAGATCCAGAAAAGCAATTCCAGCTTATTAGGATTATATGGTCTAAAAACCTTCTAACCAAGTTGTAACCTTCTATACCTTTATTAAAATAACCATATTTAACATCACTATATTTGTTCTTCGATATATAGTAAAGCTTCATATTATTCATCCTGTTTAACAAAAGTACCTGTCACCATAAAGCCCTAAATAACAATTCTAAAGAACAATGAACTGAAGTATTAAAGTTATTGGGCATCTGAAGAATACTTTTGTTATTAAACTGAAAGCTAAAAGGATTTTTAAAATACAATAGAAGTAAAATGTACTGATTTTTTAAAAAGTGTTCATCTATCTATCTATCTATCTATCTATCTATCTATATTTGGCTAGCCATGATAGCATATGCTATAATGCTAACACTCAGGAGACTGAGGGAAGAGGACTGAATTTGAAGACAGCCTGAGTCACACGGTGAGTTCAAGACCTGACTGAACTATACAGCAAAACACTGCATCAGAAAACCAAAAAAAAAAAATAACATTTACTTTGAAATTTTAAAATGCAATGTTAATACCATACATGGTAAAATCTCTCTTTTCAGTTTTGAAAACAGGAAATATTACAGCAAGCATTCTATTACGATATTCTTAGACTGCATCTAACAACTGCCCTGTGGTAGATGAGTATAGTATTTTCATTCTAACCTTCAACTGAAGACACAAAGTTGCAAACATTTATTGAAGAATTTCTGTGTTAGAAACTAGTCTAAGCATGTATTACTTAATCCATAACAATTCATTTTACAGAAGAAAACTTGGAACAAAAACAGGCTGAACTGCTTGAGAATAGGCAGCTAATAATGGCAGAGCTGCAACTCAAACTCAAGCACACTGTACCAGAGATTGTTAGTGTATCTATTGACACTATTTTTATTAGTAGGGGAAAGCTGAATTAGGAGTATTTGGAAAGTCTCACCTTAACTACTAAAAATGTATTCCTTATCTTATGTGAATTACTGACTTCCATAATGAAATTTTTTTAACAGTCACATAACATTTAAGTGACGGAATCTAAATCTTAGTAGAAATCAGCTTGCTGAGCCACCCTATTCAAGACTCCTTTTGGAAATCCAAGAGCTATTCTCATTTCCAGTAAAACTCTCCTAATTTCAGACAGACAGACAGACAGACAGACAGACAGACAGACAGACAGGCAGGCAGGCAGACAGAGACCAGTTTACTAATCTCACACAAAAAGACAAATAGCCCCTAGGAGGCAGCAAAACTCAACAATGTTCCACCAAGGACACTTAAGATCCTTGAGATGGCTAACCTGTTAGAGCTTTCAATGATACAAACAGCCTGCAGTGACAGAGTGCTTTAAATTCACCACCACTGATTTAGAGCAATCACACTGAGATTAGGTCAGCCTGTGAAAGGGTTTCAGCAATTTCAGATTAATTCTAGGGCTTAAGAGTGACTATGAAGCTAGGCCTACCTAGGCACTGGGCCAGTCTAGTGGTGTGATTTTACTCCAAAATGGACTGAGGAAGAATTCTGCATCCACTTTTTTGACAGTTACACTTGAATTCTCACTGAGGCAAATACTTCAAGAGTTTTGTGAAATTTCCAAGATCAGGTTTCTCTGGGGAAAAAATTTGATCCGAGTCTGGTGTTACTTTGTAGGATTAAAAATAATGCAAATACAATCTGAACATCAATTCTAATAGAGCCCCTAAAAACCCAAGTTTATTACACTATTTTTGAAAGTTTACATTATTAGAAGGACTGCACTAAACATGATACCACCTCCTCCTGAAAAAGTATTGTGATTGCCAAACCAACACTCAATAACAGCAAGCTAATGCTAAGACCACAGGATAACAACTTATTCTTTCTACGGGATCAAAGAATTGAGAGAGAAACCTCAACAGTTACTGTAATTGGAATTGACTTATTAAAGAGCTTACAGTTAGAAAGAAGATAATGAATATAAACTATTTATTGTTTAGCTAAATGTTTACCTGATTGCTTTTCTGAAGCTCTTGTACCTTCTTGGCAAATTCCTTGGCTTCCTTCTGACACTGTTGCTCTAACTTCTCTACTTTCCTTTGAATCCTTTCATCCATTAACTGGAGTTCTTGAATATGATTTATAAATTCTTCTAATAATCTAATAGAAGAAAGTTAGATTATATCAATCAAAAAGGAACTAGCCAATTCACTTATAAGGAAAGCCTTAAAAACAACTCTTTGAGATAAGGATGATCATATCAATTTTCTCTGTAGTATTTTATTAGGAGTTTCCCTAGTCTTTTTATAATGTCACAAGCCCAAGCCACACAGCTTTCCAAAAGCCATTACATGGACTTTTGGCCAGTATTTCTTGACTTCTTGATGATTTTTGAGGTAAACGAAAAGCTCATCCAAAATGTCCCTTAAACCTCCAGAACAGAACTTTATAGCTTTTTAAAAAAATTGAAGACAAATGTACAATACAAAAATATTATACAGACTACATTTCACTGCCTGTTTCTCCAACTGGCTATTTTACGTAGAAACTCTTATTTAACATGATTTTATTTTAAATATATAACCCTTTCTAATTTGACTGGAAAAAACATTGAATTTTTATTCTTAAAAAATGCATACCAGTTAAGTGTTCCTCTAAATGAAACAGAAAAGAAAAAATTTCAAACTTCTGGTGCTGTCTCACCTTAGTTATGCATATCTTTTTTTGACCAACTGTCAGCTAAAATCTCTTTATATGACATTTGAAAGGAATCCCAATACTAGTCAGATCTACACAAACATAAATTTTTAGTATGCTGGATTAGGGGTATAAAAACCAACAACGACAACACATTTTTACTTTACCTTTTAGGGTCGAAAGCTTCAGGTCCACCTCTAGAACCTCCTCCTGGGGTTCGCCATACAAGACGTTCAATATACTCATCTGCCACAAAAGGCTCCTAGTTTATAAAAATAAGTATGCTTTACCAAAGTTTCACAGATGACAACAATATGAATTAACAATATAAAAGACTTACTATGTGGAAGTTAAAAATGGAATTGTTAGGGCGGGCCAAATAGCTCAGCTAATTAAAGTGTCTGCAAGCAGGTGCAGGGGCTGGGAGGCTGATCTCTGGGCCCAGAGTACACTGAGACTGGTGTGGTGACCCATGCCTGTAATCCCAGCTCTTGGGAGGCTGTAAACAGGCGGATCACTACTAGTCTGATCTAGTAGTGAGACCCTGATCACCCTACAGACCCTTCCCTAAAATACAAAAAAAAGAAAAAAAGAGAAAAGAAAAGGAAAAGAAATTGTCACTAAGTATTTGAATGTCTATATTACTAAAATGTATCAAGTTTTGGATATTAAGGGTCAGCCAGATAGCTCACCAGACTAAAGTGCCTGCTTAGGCAGAGTGTAGGGACCAGGGTTCAATCCCCGGCACCACATGTCCTGCCAGCCCTGCCCCTGGGTCCTGCTGATAGCCACTGGGACTGGGCATGGTGACACATGCCTGTAATCCCAGCATTTGGGAGGCTGAAAACAGGATCACTACATGTCTGATCTGTGTAGTAAGACCCTGTAGACCCTGTACTAAATACATTTTTAAAAAAAAAGAAAGAAAAACGGGATATTAAAATATCAGACTAGTATTAATGACCTTTTGGAACAACCCAACAGAATAAAAACAAAAGACATAAACATGCAATTATAAATACAAATGCCCCTAAAACATGTGAGTTTACAGCCTTGTTAGCTTCAAACAGTTCAATTATCACTTTTTTTAACCTTACAAACTGAGAAGTATTTTTAAATTGTAATATGAAATGCAGGAAAAGATGAACTGAAATGTACACTCTCATTATTGTTAGAAATATCAACAGATACAATCTTTTTGGAGGACAACTGGTTACTATTCTGTAACACCAAACATATCACAAATGCCCAGACTCAATTTTACTTTTTATATTCTAAAAGAAAAGCATACATATGAACACAAAAACGTTTGTAGTGTTGTTACGGTCTACGTCTAAAATGTTTCCCAGAAGTCTCTCATGTTTGGGACTGATGATCAGTGAGGTTCACACAGTACTTCTCAGGGGGTTCGCTGATAACTTCAGTAGCTGATGTGCTATTAAGAGTCTGATTGGAGGTGGCCAATGGTGGCACAACCTGGACGGGTGTCCTGTCCCAGCTCTTTCATCCTCTCTGTCTTTCTGCCTGCCAGGGGACCAGCAGGTGTTAGCTGGGTCCTGCCACCATACCTTTTAGGCCTTGGAGCCTGCTGAATTTGGACTGAACTCACTGGAAACTGTGAACCATATAAAACTCTCTAGGTTTCAGGTGCCAGGTATTCTATTTTGTCCCAGTGACAGGAAAGTGACTAACAAAAGTGTTCATTGTACATTAGAATACTGTAATTTTATTTACCTATCCAACAAAACCATGATGGACAAATTATGGTAGGTTAATAGGATGAAAACTACATTCCTATTAAAGTCATGTAAAAAGACATTTAATGAAACAAGAAAAAATACTAACATACAATACTGCAAAAATGCAGAACACTAAATTTTCTCAGAATAATGTAATTTTTAAAAAATTATTTCATAATAGAAGACTCAATTAAAAACAATAAACATTCAAGTGTTTACTATTCA